CTGGCAGTTTAAACTGATTAAGCGCATGCAGAATTCTTCAGTTCGATTCACAAAACTTGCCTGATGATCGGAAAGCCATTTAAAACTCTAAGGGAGGAGGAGCTATAAATGCAAACCAAACACCCCACATAGATTTTCAGACATAGATTTTAAGCTTTCTACTCTGTGAGAAGTGATATTCTAAAGAGGGAATTACGGCCAGCCACAAATCAGAGCTGGGAGGAGATAAAATACACGGAGTACTTTTTCAGAAACAGCCTACTTATGCTGGATCAGCCTCACACACAGTCTTGTTTTTTTTTGGCAATGACTCAAGAGGTTCGTCACCTTCTTTCTCCTGAACTGTCAGCGGCATGTTGGATAACGTCAACTTGTCCAAACACATTTAACGGTGCTCTCTGTCATTTAGACTGTCATCGTGCAAACGGCCTGAAATGACTTTTGCTTGTGAAATGACCCATTTTAAAGCAGTAAACTGGCTGTAATGGGATGCACATGGCTAATTACAACAGTCCCACAAGCTGTGGCATTTAAACAATGATCGGACTCCACGAAATTATGTATTCATTCTTGGTTTTACAGACCATTGCGGTGAAAACCCAAAGTAATCTGCAGTTCTAGAAAGAGTCAAACCAGCCTGTGATTGGCTGACGGCAGAAGACGGTTACAAATGATGCGTCCCATCAGCGCACACCACCCGGAGCCTTTAAAACGGGAGGTTAAGATGGAGATAAGCGTGATTTAGTGGTCGCCCATACAGACATATAACACACTGTGCATTGATGAATGTGTGTATTTGTTGTCTTTGAGCGCATCTGGTTAAGCTGACAGATTAAGTGGCCCAAATCCATCCTTAACTCACCCCCTTTCTGCAAGGTCAGTAGGCAAGACGGTCAATCCTAAGCCTGTCAGGCTGCCTTATCTGGACACACACCAACTACACACCAGCTTAGAGGAGGACAACAACAACAGGATGGGCCGGAAAACAAGCAAATAGTTTCACAACTTTCAGGGCTTACTGAGGAGATTAACAGCTAGTGAGTTCATAGGGAAACTACAGAGAGATTCAAAGCTCATCCTGCTGGTTGACTCACAGGGACTGACTAATAAGTCAGTTTCAAAGATAAGCAGAAGTGTAAAAATTACTCTTTCCTTCTTTTAGCTTAAAACAAAGAATTGAAACTGTCCTCCAAACTTAGCCAGTCCAGCCAGAGTTTGATATTAAAGTTAGCTGATTATAGTCTGCTTTTCTTTGACCCGAATTGTTTAGCTGTATTCTTTATTCATCGTTAATTCTTCTACCAGGATACCTATTAGGATGTGCTCGCATCAGTTTACATGTACAAAGCTTCTGATGTGCTCTCCTCCTGAGCTGCTTTAGGAAAGCAGAGGCAGAGGGGCTGTTAAGGACCCATCAGAAGCAGCATGAGGGAGGCCCCACTTCCCCTCTCCCCCCAGCTCTGATCCGACTCCCGGCTCTGTTCACATCTCTAAACTGGCGCTGGATATTGATCATCTTTCCAAGAGTTTCTATTCAAACTGCCAGCTGGACAAAAGGGGCAGGAAGCAGCTTTTTTCTCCCCCTCTCGAAAGAGGAGGACTGAGAGGTTTGGACAACTTGGGGGGAGGGAAGAAAAGAAAGCGTGAAAGAAGAAAAAAAAAAAGTCCACTATAAGAGCAGTTTCTGGTGGCGTTCCATTTTAGGGAGTGACCCAGCGACAGAGCAACCAGAGCCGCTTCCTGTGCTGGTAATAGCACCTCAAAGTTGGGTCAGTTCTGGGTTTGCAAACTATGCAATCTTGTAATCTATTCAGATATGACCAAAATTGGATGTTTTCAAAGGGAGTATTGCAAAATCAAATGAGTTTACTGTAAGAAATTAGCTTTAAGGGCGTTGGGTTTTAGGGGCCAGAGGGGCATGTCCACACAGTCGATTAGATCATTCCCAATTAGCCAACAAGTAAGAAGCCCAGACAACCGGACTACCATTACAAACGCTGGTTGCTTTTGGCTGCATTACACAACCTTCATTTCTGGAAATGACGTAAGATGGAATAAATGTGGATGTCCTGTGGTACAACATGAATCAAATGCAACATATTCATAGTTAGAGTGACCACTGCAGCAAATGGTGCAGTTCCTGCTTTAAACATGACATAAAGTGACTTCCCTTTCTGTTATATTAGGACTCAGACAGCTCTTTTGGGAAACTCTGTAGTTTGAGCTTCATATAAAGACTCTTCCCTGACCTGTACAGGGTGAGAGGAAGTCAAAAGTTCTGGGTTGAGGGAAGCCAATCAAATTATTTGGTGTGAGACAACAAATTTATGAAAATCGATGTGAAGTGACACAGTTGCTGAAGCTTTGAAGGGAAACCATGTCAGTGATCCAGAGAAGAGAGGCATGAGCACTACCTGCCGATGTAAATAGTGCTTACTAATTTTAAAAAAGTCCCACATTTAAATTTTTATTATTTCACTGTACGTGTAAACACAAAGAGAGGTGGTACTTTCTACTGTTTAAAGCCTGAAACTTTATGACCACTGTTCAGCTGTGATTAATTTAGCCATCTAGTCGATTATGTCTGCGTGTGAACTGAACTGAGGGGCTCTTCTGTCGTTACAATGGGCTTCAACTTCATCCTTCTCGTCTGTGCTGCTGGAATTTGAGCGAGTGACCTGCAGGCATCAGCCGAGTCATCTCATATTCCACCGTCCGTCCGCTCCAAATCTGCCGCAGAACAATGCCGAGTCTCCAAAAGCAGCCAGAGTTTCACACTTCAGTAAGAAGCCAAACACAGCAGTGCTGAAGCCAGCATCCCGTTTTTGCTTTCACAGTCTGCCTCCTACTGCAGCTCCAGCTGGCAGCTCCTCAAATCTCCACACAATCAGCTCTCCTGTCGCTCTTTCTAATGCCGGTGTTTCATTTCTGTCTTCCTCATCAATTTATATCGTTCTGCGATGGTGGGAACCATTCTAAACTTTGTTTTTTGGTTGTGTCTTTTTTTAAATACATGACTTACATCAGACTAATACTCTCAAAGCAAGTCTGTTTGATTTTGTTGGGTGTAGGTAAACATTGATAAGCAGGACAGGAAGTCATGAGATGGGAACAGAGTGCTAATGTGGAGGAAGCTGTTCTGTCCAATACAACCTCAACGTGGGGCTTAAGTGGCTTTAAAATTCTGATATATTTCATTTGTGAAAAATGTATTAAAATGGACAAAAGATTAGATGAAAAAGACCAATAGCACAGCCTGTCTGCACTTCCTTCCAACAGATGTAAAAGCATATTTCCAATTTGAGATTTAATGGGAGAATATTTACCGGAAAAAAAGTTCAAGGAATTAAAGTTTTATCACTGTTAGACGTAATAAGGAGTTTTAATAACAGCCTTTAACTGAGGCTTCGTCCCTGTAACTTCTCTCCTCTTGCCCCTTTGACTTTGTAAAGCAGCAGTTACATTATTCACACTTGTCTGTTGGGTGACGAGAAACCAAACAGAAACAGTTTCAGGACAGATCTGAACTTGTGAATTACGCATTTCCAATAACAAGACTCCAAATGGCAACAAGTGCTGTATGCTGTAATTCAAGTCTTCCAGGAACACATCAGTGTAATATTACATCATTCTGTTGTGAAATTAAGCCAGTCAAGCAGATTTTCCCCCCACATTTATTTAACAGAATCTTCCATTAACGGGAGGAGACAACGCTAACTGAGAACCTTTCCACTGAGCCTCATCTTGAAAACACAAACATTTGTTTTGTGTGGAAGTGGGATCAGTCAGGGTAAAATGGGGCTGAGAGCCAAAAGAAAAAAAAAAAAAAAAAAGAAGGCCGGGAAGACAGGGACAGGGAGGCCCATGTGACCCAGGATCCATTTAACCGTGGATCTCTGGTTCTCAGCCAGGCCACCACTCTGCTGCTCATCTGCAGTGGTGCGAGCGCAACAGGAAGCCAAAACCCCAAGCTAAGACCCGAATGACTGGACGCCTCTGTGCTGGCCTTTCACACACACACTGCACAGAGTCTGATCCACGATCTGTTTAACATCCTAATGATAGCCGAGTTAAATACTTAAGAAAATAAAAGCTACTAATCATCTAAGCCTTAATAACACTGTAATGAATGTCGATTTTAAACGCTGAAATGCTGCTTTTATTGAGATATAGTCAATAAAACATTCCTCAAAGTGAAAGCACAGATGTTACTGAGTTGCTTTAAAACGTGTTGGTAGACGTATTCCCTAACATTTTCAATCTGGCTCACCTCTGACTCCACTGTGGATGCTAAACTTATAACAGCAATCTTCTGTGGCTCTGTCCATTCTCCCCTCTGAGCTGCTGTCACAGAAGCAATAAATGTATGACTGAAGTTCAACAGATTTTTTTTACATCGCAGTGGCTTCCAAAAGCAGGAAGTTAGCAGAGCCGTATACAGAGTGGTAACAGCTGTATTTCAGTATTTGTCCTCTTGTATGACGCATGGGGAGGAGGGGGGGGGCTGGACAGAGCGGTATGGCTGCCACATATTGAGAAAGCACACAAGAGGAACTTTTTCCTGTCAGAAATACCCGTAGCCACACTCTTATTGTGTCCTGTAACTGAGTGCACACACCAGATATCAGACAGCCGTCCAACACAAGCTGTCTGTTAATTACTCTTGATGGCACACAGTTAAATTTGTCAAAGTTGCGCAGCAGTTTCTTCTGCCTCACGTCGCTATGGGCTGTGCGCTCCTCTGCTGGGGATGTTGCTGCAGTTAAACCCATTTCAGGACCAACTTCACTCACACTGGAACTGAGACCCTGCAGCCAACTTCAATGCTTTTGAATATCCAATCAACTTGCTCCTCTAACCCACTCACTCGAAGATACAGACACCCACTCAGACGGGCGGCGGCACATAAACGCGCAGGTGTGCACGCACATGTTCCGCCTCGACACGCACCGGCAGAGAAGCCTTCATTTGTGGCTCACGTGCAAATGTCACCCACTTACCTACGACCATTAATGTGAACTCGAAGCCCCTTTTCACCGACTTCCTGTACACCTGGTTGGGGAGGTTGGCAAAGCCCACATAGCCCTCCAAGTTTCGCTGCTGAAAGAAAACACAAAAACGCAAATTCTTATTAGTGTGTTCACTGAATAGCACGCATACTGTCAGAGTAGTGTCGGCTAAAAAAAAAAAAAGCCCTGGCGCTCGTAACTCAGGGTTAATCAACATTATGGTGGATGTAAACAAGCTGTTTTTACAGCTACATTCTCTGCATGCTTGTAAGCAAAGACCAGGAAAAACACCAAGTGGCAAAAAGAAAAATCTTTTTTTAAAACCTACAATTAGCATTTTTCTGTCCTGCAGCGACAGAGCCCCTTTTGCAGCGAGGTGCAGCTGGGCTGGAAATACGAGGGGAAAGAGGTAGTTTTAAGGGTAAAGAGGGAGTCAAAGAGGAATAACAGGTTTTCTCCAGGCTGCAGGGAAAGGTGCTGTCTAGCCTCCAGACGAACATCTAAAATTCAGATCCTTAAAATAAGACGCAGAAACTACACAAATCCTACGTGTTCAATCATGTCCATCATGTCCCTCCAGTACAAAAGGTTGTGGGGAGCCAGCTGCTTTCTTCCTACCACCGACGTATCTCTACATCTCCTCTCGGTCGGCCCATCTCCTCCCTCTGCCGCCCCATCTCCCCGCCGGCTGTCATGATACAGCTGCCCACCAATCAGCGCGCGCGCTCTGTCCTGCGCGCCGCGTGAGCCCGACACCATCGATGTCAGGCCTCTCAGGCTGTCACGCACAGCGGTGACACATCGGCGGGGTTTCAACCCACATCATCGGTCTGGATTTTTATGAGAAAAAAGGTTCCTCTTGCTGCAATATTACCGTAAATGCAAACCTTATTTAATCGCACCCCGGCAGAAAGAAGGATATGGCAGCGTTATTTTGGGAAGTTTCCTACTTCCACATGATTCACTGCAAAAAGAGATTAGTCAGTGATAAAAAAATAACTGCCAGGTGCCGCCCAAGAAATCGTTTTGGTCTGTTATCAGTGTCACGTCACTCAAAATTAAAACTGAGCATGTTCACGTTAAAAAACTCATTCAAATAGGATTTCTGTGAACAGTTTTTCCCCTCAATAACTAATGAAAAAAATGACACCAACTCAAAGCGAGCATAAACAGCTCAGCTCTGTCCTGACTGGCCAAACGCAGTTACATAACGCAGATAGAAATCAAACCGCTCTGGAATATCGGCAGTAAACTCGACTCAAATGGCTCGTGGTGCTGGGCGCATGCTCCGTAGCTGGGGCGCTTCCACACCAGGATAGTCGGATAGATTCTGTTGGGAATCCATTTGCTGCCTTGCTGGACAGCCGTTTTGCATTTCCCACTGGAAGCAAACCGCACCTGGATTCATTTGCGAGCGACCTGAGACACACCCAGAGTTCAGATTGCCTTCCACACATAACCAAATGAGGTGGACTTTTCATTGCAAATGGGCTGTCTGTTCCCATCTGTGGGCCATCAAACTGCTCCCAGAGTGAGTGGTCATGTCAAAATGTTCTTTTTTAAATGGTTGCAAAAAAAAAAAAAACTAGCATGAACTGATCTTTGGGTTTGCTGTCCGCTAATCAGCTCACGTGTGACGTTCAGAAAAGGCAGCTCACCCACAACATCACCCAGGCAGCAGCAAAAGAGAAAGACAATCTATTCATCCATCAATACTCTGATGGACGCGGCTCAACAGCAGGCGACACCACGAACAGGCCTGAAGCACTTTCCACCGATTCCAGGTTTGATCCACCCACATCCGAGCTCTCTGCCTGTTACACAAGGGGCCATCTCGGATGGTCAGAGTATTTTCCAGCAGCTGAGATGTGGGCAGAGCACGTAGTAGAAATAACCAGGTAGGCTTTTCATCTGGTGAGGAGAAACGATGGGAGCAGGCTGCCAGTGTTTAGCTACAACAACTCGGTGCGGGTTTGAATGCAGGAGAGTCTGTGAATCAGATGTTGCATTACAAGAGCCAGTCGGTATGCATATGCATGGAACGCATTAGAGATGTCCTCGTGAGTTTAAGGATTCAAAGAAACGCGGCTTCTCTGGCAACACAGACGCTAAAATATCTCAGTTATGGCTGGATGAGTACTGCGTCTGCCATCTGATATTCACAAAAGGGAGTGAACAAGGGACTTAGAAGAGGGAAATAACGGGGGATGAGAGAAAGAAAAGCTGGTCAGTCCTCAGCATTCATGTAAACCCCTCCCCCCAGTCCAACCAGTGGTGATAGTAGCTGCCTGGCTCGTTGACATCATCAGTATTATCGAGCCCCTCACCCGCCTTGGGGCATTCAGCAGCTGACCCTTTCGCTGCCCCATCAGCTGTTTTCATGCTCGATTCCTTACACATTGATGGTGAATTATGCAGGAGGTATTGCATCACCGAATGGTGCAGAGGGAGAGCAGAAATAGCTGGAAATCAGCGGTTATGTTGTTGCTCGTTATTTTTAGTGCTGCGATCTCCATCTGCCTCCGAGGCCGTGCTGTATATGAACATGGCCTCATTGCGTTAGAGAAAGTCACCGCCAGTGTCTTCAGACTTCATCACAGAGACAGTATTACAACACTGTGTAGTCTGCTTAGAAAAGATCAAAGAACACGTGGACCAATTTCATATATATCCACAATGACATCAGGGCTTTAGAGACTCGGGATCAGTTCAAAACCTGCTCCTGTTTAACTCAAAAACATAAAACGATGGTTTGACACTGTAACCTAAAGGGTTGACAGTTATTGACAGTCACTATTTTGAGCCATTAAACCAGTTTATTGTTTTTGAATAGACCACGTTTGTCTGCGTCACTCAGTGGGAATAAGGAAGCCCTTATAAACGGAAAATAGAGACGTTGTAGCCCGGAGAGGAGTGTCCTTTCTGAAAAAAAGGTATGCTCTACACCTGTAGTCAGAAAGTACCGACTGCCCTGCAAGCAACCCGACACCGTTCTGAATGGAGATGATAGATCCTCTAATTCTACATCTTTTCATAGCAATCTGTATGTAAAGTTTGGCACTTTTGTGTCATTTATACCAATTTCAAATATTTTTCGTGTACATAGTTTATAACGACACATAGTATTGTAGAGGATCCCCTCCTATCACACTATAGAACATCAATCAACTGTCCATCCAATGAACCCAGTCTGCTTAGGGCAAAAAAACAAGTAGGATGACATGTCCTCCAAACACACAGCAGTACAAAAAGTACCAGAAGAGGATTGTAATAACATCCCAAATGAGCTGAAGTGCCATGACTACATCTTTACATGACAACAAGCAAAGGTCAGATGTTAGCAGATGTTTACAACCCCCCCCCCCCCCAACCAATCAAACCAATGGAATGTGATTCAGATTAACCAACACAAAAGACACAGAATGAGCTAAAAATGATACAAAATGATTAGTAAACGAGACAAGTTGTAACAAAAAAAACGCAAAACAATAAACACACTCATACACAATCAGAAAAACACCCCCTATCATAGAGATGTTTACAAATCAAAGTCTCTTTTTTTTGGGGGGGGGGGGGGTCATTTTGGAGATCTGTGTCCAGTGGCCTTTTGTCTTATAGCCCATCCCTGGCTAACTATGACAAAAATGATCTAAATCCATCATAATCAGGCACATGAAACCGGACCTGTGCGAACTGGTGTAGCTCAGAGTGAGTCATGTTGCATTTTTAACACATGTTTTGCTACAGTAAATCTCATCCGGGTGATAGTGGACGGATACAAATCTGTGGCTGCAGTTAAATACTTTGACTACCCACACAGTCATAACAAGAATTTATCAAGAGTCCATCTCTTTTCCCATAGCAGCCAGCTCTAATTGAAACCAGACCGAGTCCCTGCTGATAGGAGCTGCTCTGCAGGGAGACCTCAAGCTAGCCCCCGTTCGTCTTCCTGCCACCGCCATGAGCTCCAGGAAGAAAACAGGGCATTCCGAATTCATTAGGAATAAAACACGAAGACTTATTTACAGGATTACTATTTTCCGAAGATGCAGCTGGGGGTCCAAAACGCTAAATAAACGGCATTTTAGAGCTTTTTCCCACAGGAATTTCAGGTTTGGTCTTAGCAAACATCCAAAATATCCTCAAATAATCGATAAGGACCTCAGACTCTGAACTACCCGGGTATCATAATGAAGTCTACAGCTATTAGCTTCCTCGGAGGAACAGTTTAGGGTCTCTTTGGAGGAGAAATGGACTTACAGCGATGCTGGGAACCGCAGTCTCGGGTCTCTCGATCATGGTGCTGCCGTTACTGTCACCACCCCGCCTGGAACGGACGCTCACCGAGGCATACACCGACTAACGTCTGAGAGGGCGACGAGGCGGAGAGGAGCTGCGCTGGGTCCCCCGCTCAAACCGCCGCTTACCGCCGGCGAAAGGAAACCAAACACGAGTGGAAACGAATGAATGAGGTTAAATTACATATGGCCGCTGGTGGATACTACACGCAGATGGACCACAGTGAAGAAAAAGGCTCCAACGGCTGTTTTTCTTCAACGGGCGGCGCTGACGTCATTTATCCGGTACTACATCCGGCTGGTCCTGTCGAAATAAGAGCAGCACCTTGTGTTGCAGTTTTCTGACACTTTTGAACTGATGGCTTTCTGACTTTGAACACATCAAATATACGTCCAGTACACATAAACTACATGGCAGGTACGTCACTTCAGATCCCAATGGGCTTCAACATTTTTTAAAAAAGTCACAGGCACATGCAGAAACAAGAAATAAAGACAACTAAACATGCTAAGATTCTCCTACAGGCAATTAAGAGTCACTAACTAATCTAACATGCATGTTTTTGGGACTATGGAAGTATTCAGAGAGAGAACATACACAGAAAGGTCCCCAGCAGTGATTTGAACCGAGAGCCCTCTTGGTGTGAGGTGACAGAACTAACCGCCACAGCACAATGCAGCCCCAATTAATTAGTTAATTGGGAAGTTAATCGTAAAATATAGTTTGATTATCTCAGTTTACCATGAATAATAATGCATTTAGAATATCCCTAAAAGCTGAAACTAAGAGGTCTTAGATCTTGAATCTGTTTAACAAAAAAGGTTCCAAAATAGAAAAGTTAAATAGTTAATCTTTAAATGTATATTAAAACATATTATTAAGACCTATACAAGCAAAAAGAGCAATCAAATGTAATCAAAACATGCTACACATGAGTATGAACAACAAAAATCTAAATATGTCGGTTATCTTACCGTGAGTTCCCACAAAAACTGGAATTATGTTCTCTTTTTGTGATGGTCCTATAAGCAACTTCCGGTCTGTGTTCAGCTTTTCTTTCTCAATTGACGCACCTTTGTGCGAACCTAGATCCACCCTCCTATTGGACAAACGTAAACGTGATCGGCCTCCGGACATGTTTGTGAGGCGTTCAAATTCTACAGGCCACAATGTGGTGCGTTCAGAGACCGATATGCACGGCAAAGCATCAGATAAAATCACAGAGCCTGGAGTGGTTTGATTGTTCAGTTAAGACAATAGATAAGAGGTGACAAAGCAAAAATAGGTTGTATGAAATTGGAGTAGACATTATATGACCGTAAAATTCCTGTAAAGTACAACGTAATCCCAACCAAAATGTGTTAATATCTACTTTCTGGTCAGTTTATTAGTTCTTGTTTTTTTTTTTGTTTTTTTAAAGTTTAGTTGTCTTCTGTATCTGGCTTTCTGTAATTTTGTTGTTGTGTGTATGTGTTTTATTAAAAAAACGTAGTTCTTAGTCCTCTCATTCTGAACCCACATTTAGTATTACTGCTGTCTACTGCTCTGTGTATGAAAATGTAATCACATGTAATTAATTTTGTCATGGTTGCAGGCAAAACGATAATCGATAATTATTTTTATGTGAATGCATTTGATTGAAATTAAACAGAGCTCATTAAAGTTTATCAGACACATGCTCAGCAAAACACTCTGCAAATGAAAGTTTCCAAGGCATAGAAACATGATAATGAATGACATTAAATTAATCAGATTTTAATTGCTAATCTTTTTTTTTCTTGTTGTTTTGCCAAGGAATAGCAAAAAAATACATTCCTTTTGGGGGGTGAACTGGGATGGTTTGAGATTACATCTGCAATAGCGCACTCTGGTGCTGGGAAAAGCAGCTGTCAAATTTTCTATGTGTTTCGGAATTCCTTTTAAAATCAGATGCAATGTTTGATTTATGTTTTACTCCTCTATTCAAAATTAGACATTGAATATAACAGTTTTTAGGATTAAATCTGTGTATGTAGGAGCTGAACATTTATGTAAAAGTCTTTGACACACTTCGCATGTTGCCATGACTCAATGTGTGGAATTGAAGGGGAGACACAAAAAACACGTAGTATGCTTGTGTTTAAAAACTGAAACAGGAAAAAGAAGGGTTGAACTTTTTTGGGTGTTAGCTTGGGTGCTCTCAATAATTAATCTTTTAGCATTTAACCTCCTGAGACCCGAGCTTTTATTTGGCATGCATTTTAGCTTTTTTTTTAAAGATATATGAGATACATATTTAATTAAATGTTTTTACAATTTTGTTCTGACAGTCCCATTGACTCATTTACAGTTTTTCTATTACACAATAAGAACATGATTGGATGGAAATGTATAAAACCATTTTACTTTAGATTTCAAACAGTGTCTGATAGCATCTGCTATGAGGTCAAGAGGTCAAAGCTGAAAGAAAAAAAGAAGTATCATGGTAAAGAGAGACAAAAATGCAACGTCCTTTTATGAGGACACAGGGTCTCAGGAGGTTAAACTAAACTGACTTCTGTGAAAGCTCAAATAATACTCATGGGTCATTGGAGTAACAATTTTGTGCTCTATCTCACATAATTTGGAGGATAATTTGCCATACGAACGGAAAAATAATCCCTTTGTTTAGTACAAGCCGACGTTACCCTATAAAGCCTGATCCAAGAAAAAATGGAGATACATTTTCTTATTATTTTATAGTCTTTATTTGCCCCTTTAACAAAATATGAAAAAATATCATTCTTGAAAATGCATAATTTATTAATAAATAAGTAAAAACCATTGTCATGTAGTCTTCTGCACGCTGTTATCAGATATATCTGACTGTGTCCAACAGGGTTTTGAGCAAAGTTTTTACCAAGAAATGATGCAAAATGTCTCAGATACAAAACATTTAAGAAACTGTGTGTATCAAATATGATACGTTTGGCATTATAAGGATAATATATGTTAACCAATAAGACATAATAGACATAATTCCTTCCACAAATTGTTTTTGCTTTAATTTAAGAGAAAGAAACTGGTATTACACAGAAGCAATTGATTATTTGTTAAATTGTATACATTTTGTGACAAATTCAAAGCGCGATTAAAAAAAACAACAACTTTAAATTAAATTTGAAAAGAAATGTCACAAGCTCTCTGCACAGTAAGAGCTGGAACCCGTAGCTTATACTTTACTGAAGGCACCCTGCGGATTGGGTTATATTACTGTTTTACAGTAAGTACATCTCCCATATCAGGTCAGATTACAATCTAAGTAGTTCACAGTGTTGCTGGTCTATATCAATAATAAAGGATCTGTAACTCAGATACAAATAATTCATTTGCATGACAAAAAGACAATCTACTTATTTCTCATCCAAGAAAATAAAAACATATTGGAATATATCATTGACAGACAGAGGGCTTTAGTTCGGTCACAATTTCAGTAGCAGTAAACAGAAAGTTGTCCATGTGGTTCTGTTGATGTGTTTACAGGGTGGAAGACTCTCCCGGAGCAGCTTTGACATCCAGGTATGTGATGAGGTCCTTCACCCACTGGACGGAGGGTTTGACACACAGCTGGCGGCCGGTCACCATCTTCAGCCTGACGGAAACAGGAGGGAGAGCGGTCAGTGGAATCCGGGTCCGGTCAGGTTAAACGTGCAGCTGTAAGATGTTCTGTACTCACAAGATGGCCGGGTTGGAGCAGCGCTGGCTGGTCTTGATGTAACCAGCCACTCTCTCTTTAGCAACCACTTTGGTGTTGAAGTTAAAGCAGCATTTCTTGGGGCCGGCGCCGCGCATACCTGCAAACAAACAGCAGTCAATGAGCAACGCAGCATCACTAGAATACTGTACGTGGTGCTTTTCCTGTTTTGGTTCCTTTTTTTAGTTTCCTGTCGAGAGTATGCAACATGGCTTTTTTTAGTTTAAAGAGCTGTGCTCTTTGTAATTCATTCATCTGGGTAAATAATATCTGTGATTTGAAGGTTATAATCATTACAATGGCTTCTATATTTGATTGTTCACTCTTACTTAAATAAACACCAAAGTCAAAATTGTTGTTGAACAACAACTTAAAAGCTGAAATAGTTACTTAGATTGGATTATAAGTGAATGAATGAATATAAATTATTCACAATTCAAAATAACTGACATGAGAGCTTTGGTTAAATAGGTGATTTAGTGTGTATTTGTAATAAATATTGTTTTTATGATGTAGAATATGTACATTTTCAATGCCTTATCTCTTTGAATTGTAGCTTTAAAATCAAATGAAAAATAAGTCTTCTTAGTTATATGTGAAATCTAATATTTTCAAGCTTTTCATTTATTTTTTCTTATAATCGCATGGTTTTCTATTCCAAGGATCGTTCAGCAGAATATTAGCTAATAAAAGCAGAGAAGCATCCAAAGGTTCAAAACTTGGGCTGAATATGTATCCATCTTTTTTTTGTTTTATCGGCCTAATGGAGCCATCAGGGGCCCGGCATCTCTCTGGGTTTGAGCCTCCATCTTACCTTCAGTCAGCGCGACGAGGGCCAGCATCACCACCAGGAGAGACAGAGCGAGACGAGGAGCAGCCATTCCTGAGCTGAGAGTGGGCTTTTTGTCCAAGTGCAGCGGTGGGTTAGAGTCTTAGTCGGCTTTTTGAGCTTGTTGCCTCTGCTGTGTGAGCTCCATCTGCTTCCACATTTATACAGACCCAGAGAGGGGACGACCCCTTTGCTTTATCATGGGACCAAACAGATCTATCACCTTGGTTCAGAGGGGAATGCCTCATGTGGGACTTTTCCCGTGGGTGTTTTCATGTGGGTGATAGTAGGTAGGTAGTAGTGCTGTACTACTTCCTCATACAAGGAATCTAAAAAATGAGGAAGCGTTTTTTTCCCCAGTTGTGTTTTCCCTTTGAATTAGACGGCACTTGGGTGACGTAACCAAAACTGATTTCATTTCTGTCGCAGCGTGCGCTGCTTTTCTGACATCATGGACCTTTCATAGCCGTGAACCGAGACTGAAAAGGCCGGTGTGGTCATTCCTTCACAATCCGCATTAATAGATACAGTGTTTAAAGGTCAGAGAGCCCATATTCAGCGCTAAATAACCAAAGACGGATAAGACTGTTTAGATGGAAATCCCAAATGAACATAAAAGATTCCAGTGAGTAATAACGGCATGTCAAACAATAATGTGGATTTAGAGTCGTGAAGCTGCTGGACAGAAGCTTTGATTGATTGATTCGTTGATTGAAATGCGATACATAGGACATTACACATGGGTGCGAAACCGGTTTGGGCACAATCAAGGGTTTTCACATGGATTCCCGAGGAAGTGAGATGAGCAGAGGATCACGTCTGAAGATTTGAATGCTGGAATCTGATCCAGACCTTTTTAAAAATGTTTACTTGTGCCATTCCTTCTTGTTATTCTGGTTTAGATTAGTACGTCAATGCGCTTGATTTACGAGGCGTGGATTAAAAGCTTTCCAGTGCTGCTGTTGGAACTGTAGCTAGGCAGGAAGACACTTTTGGCTGAGACCTGCCGGTCCAGAGTCCAGCGGTGGTTCAGCGGTCAGCACCTTAAACACACAGGTTCCTGTGAAGTTCTCTGCCTTCGGTCTGCAGACTAAATGTCCTCCCTGTCTGATTCTCCAGAAGGAAAAATTCAGAAAGGAGAGCCCTGTGGGCTGGTAGGCGGTCAGTAAGTTTGTTCTCAGTGACAGTCCTAGTATACGTGACATCAGGCTTTTTAGCAAAGGAGACCAAAAGATTTTGGAACCAAAATCCAAAAGTGTCCAAGTACTCCAGACTCCATGAGACCAGTCTGCAAAAAGGACTTCCTGAATTTAAGCGGAAGTTACATGGTCTAGATAACTTTGTCTGCATGGGCGAAACTCCCTCAAAACCAAAGAGAAGAGCAGAGGGTCAGATGGAAGGCCCCTTTATACCAAGAAAACAAACAGATCTTTTGTCGTACTTTTCTCTCCAAAGATAAAAATGGAAAAAGGCCCAAACTGCTGCTGCCCACACCAAGACGATGACAAGAGAGGTGGAGTACAAGCCAATAACCAAATAGCAAACTAAGTCGATATATAAAAAGATAAACAAACTGGAAGAAAATGGCCTGAATTTTAAACATGCTCAAGAAAGCATTTTCACTGGCTCTGTGCTTAAAATTTTTATTTTTATTGTCACAAAGTACCTTAAAAACAACCACAGATGACTAAACTACAACACAAAGAAAAAGGAAATACAAAAGCAGAGTCAGTCTGATGGCACATAAAAGATGATAACATGATGTAAAACCGATTACAGACGACATCCTCAAAGGTAACAAAGAAACAGATCACAAGGAGAAATGGGTCCTCAGCTTCATCGCTGCTGGCCGTTGTCAGCGAGGACACATTTACTGGACAGGGGAAAGTTGTTAGAATGAGTGTTTATCAGTTTTCTGACTCACCTGTTTGCATGTTTGACTCATCTGTGTTTTTAGTGTAATTCAGTCCTTGCAGTCACGTACAGAGAACAGATTGAATCAACTTAACGGCACAATTTAGTTACTTTTATTTAAGACAATCCTACTTTTCTTGTTGCATTGTAATCATTCCTCACTCTGAATTAGTAAAACATAATTATTCTTTACATGGATAAAGTGAATAATCGTGGTTAATTTGCATGTCATGGTCCTCTGACTGCATGAACGCTCCAGGGTATGACTTCAAATGAGCAAAAAAGGCCAAGTAAGTACATTTGGGATTTCATTTGAAATACTGAGAAAGTTACCTTGCTGAGTCAACTCAAAAATGAAAGGCAGTGAAAAAAAAATGGTGGCACAATCAATGAATTTTGATTTGAAGATCTGTTTAAATAAGATCATTTTGTTTTACAGGCACGTTATAAATCTGTAAACATAAATCTGGCCCTTTATACTATGGTGACTGTTTTAAGAAAAATTGAATTACTTCTACTTCCAGTGAGAGAGAAGCTCTGTAGCTGAAAATACAGCTATGGTTTTTAATCGGAGCAGAGAACCCGAGTGAAGAAGAACCCCGCAGAGACTACCAGGCTCCCGCCCAGAAGCCCACAGAGGGTGGAGAACTCTGAGCTCTGAGCTGCCTTCAGGCCTCTCACACCAGAGGGCCCGTGGATGTTGAAATGTGTCCATATGCAAAAATACATGCGCTGGGCTTTTGGGATGTTTGTGTCTGAAGACGAGGACCTCTCAAAGACCGAAGCTCTCCTGGTGACGTGTTTCCTGAAGGAGCAGGCGATGACTTCATCTGCAAAGGGCTCCGTTGGGCCCCGGCAAACCTGGGCTATAAGTTTGGGGAAGGAGATGCTTTTATACAGGTCCATCTAAACACGGTTTGGGAGATTTCTAGACATTTCAGTGGGGATGTTATAATCTAACTACTCCACTGATTCCTGTTGCTAGGTGACAATATTCAGCTGCCTTCATGAAACAGTAAAACATGAAAAAACAAACCAATCAATTGTGCTTTTTTTTTTCCCTATAGACACCGTTACTCTGATCCTCAGTAATATTTCTCACATCAACAATTTTTTATGAAAAAAATCCTCTGTAATTTTTAGTTTGTAGTGTGTGAGCACGGTTGTGTTCATAGGAACAAAATGCAGTGCAGCCTGAATTTTCAAAGACTTCCCATCATGTTATCTATATCTGACACAAGCAGAAACATCACTAATGAACTCAGAAATGAAGAAAACGGGCAATATTTGCTGCTTTTCTAAGTGGCCAGATTCAGGTGACTCCTCGGCCAATCACCTGCTTCAGGGTCCATATTGTTGCGTACAGATATGTTTTTGTGTAGTTATCAGAGCTAGAAATGAACTGAGATAGGATTTTACAGCTTAAATCTCTGGTTTGTGTTTAAACAAATTGACTGACTTCAACTTCAGGTTTTCCATAACCACAATAAAACAAACTGCAGCTCATGTGTAAACAAAGAAAAAAAATCAAGCGTTCTGCTCCAAGGGGAAATTTCATCAACCAAAACAGAGAACAATGCTCCGGTTCATGCTCTGACCGAGCTGTGACTTGACTTCACCATGTTTTCCGGCACAGAGCAGAAGTTTAAAGTGTTTTTTTTCATGAGACGTTCACAGGAAAAAGATGACTGCGGCTCATGTGGGCTGATGAGAGGATAGTTGGTGAGCAAATCTGGCTTCACATTTGTTTGACTTAATTAATCTTTCATGACCATTTACTGACAAACTGGTCAAATAGCAGCTTTGATAAGTGTTTTCCATTCACGTGTAAGCAGTTGATAAAGAGGAAAGACTACGCTTATGCAAAAACACAACAAAGTAATGTGAAGGATTAGCATTAACTCATAAATCTACTTCTGTTTGGATTTTTTTGGGCAATTTCACAAATTTTCATCAAACTTTCTTTGACCAAATAGAGGAAGAAAAAACAACAATTGCAATTTTTTCAATTTTACTACTTAAGCTTATATGATTGAGCATGTTCAGTTCTCCAAACAGGCAACTTAGATATGTCAACATCATAATTTGGCTTGAAGTAAAATAAAGGTTCTCAGTTCAGATCATTTTTAAATTGAAGCAAAACTAGTATTTGGTTGATTTAAACTATTTATTAAATAATATTATAACATTTTACAATCTACGTTTTTTTTAAATCACATTTGTCCAAAAGAAGACAAGATGACTCAAGCAAAGAATTTCTATGCCGCTGAACGACTGTTTCCTGGGAATTTCTTCTCTCCACTTCAATATCCGCATGTAGAGTTCCTCTGGGGCCAATCCTGGGGCCACTTTTGCTGAACATTTACATGCTCCTGCTCAAAGTTGCCAGACATTCAGCTATGCAGATGACACACAAATCTACATAGCCTTATTGTGTCAGTATTCTAACCTTTTACAAACACTCATAAGTGTCATGAACAAATAAAGAACTGGATGATAAGGCAAAAAAAAAGGATTTAACTGGGGGTTTATAAAATGTAACCGCCATACCCACTCACATCTGGAGTATATTTCAAGGATTAAGAGACTAATGTACCGAAATGATTTGGAAAAAGCGATCCATGCATTTATCGACACCTTTTCTGCACATAATAGTCAGATGTCAAAATTTCAGACAGCTGCAGTTGATTCAGGACGCTCTCCTCCTCAACAAGATCTGAAAAGCGGATCCAAGCACTCCAGTTCTGAGGTCTTAACTCTGGCTTCCTGTTCATCAAGCAGCTGATTTTAAAATACTCTCCTTGTTCCATGATGCTTTAGAAAGCTCTCACTTTGTGTCAAACAAGTGGAACAAACTCGAGGAAAAGAGCCGCTCTGGGTCAAATCTGACTTTTTTAACATTAACACTCTCCTGCTTTGCGCTGCATGAACTGGTTTAATCTAACAAGAGAACTCTGATTCATAGCTGTCACTGCAATGTGCTCCTTTTGATTGACTTTTCTTTGCTGTAAATTTAGTTTTGCAGAGTTCTTTGAATCAGCGATTTTACAAATGGCGCTAAATGATTGTTTCCCTCCGAGTAGTACTAAGAATGCTAAATTCCTAGAATCTGGTATTATATTTTTTGCATGTTTTTGTGCAAAAGAGTGCAGTTTTATTTGGTCACCGTTTCATCCTGAACATTCAATGTAACACTTCTAATTTAAAGATAGTAACAGACTGGCTTTTGAGGCTGATATTGAATTATTTAACGGTCTCTTTAGACCAAATATGTGTAAAAGTCTTTGCTTATGACCCGTTACACAAATGGGACAATTTATTTATTTTCAGGCCATTTATGGGTTCAAAAACATGAATTATTAGTCTTTGATTGTAAATTTATGTCTATTTTTGGGAAAATTCAACTGAATAAGTTCTATGAATCTAGAAATGAATAGAAATTAATAAACAACTGAACACAGTTTCAGTTCAGTGTTTCTTCTTCTGACATGACTAAAGTTTCACTGTGGTGGGAGTTTTTTCACACCTGATGAAGTATGATCAGAGTTAAAGGTCCTCCAATGTTAATCAGAAGCAGAAGGAGTCTTACAGGCAGTTTCAGTTCTTATTTTGTCTTAAAAAAACCATAACCTTGAATCAGACATCTTGTTGGTACACAGTGGTTTAAACACAGCGCCATTGAGAAAAAGAGGAAATAAAGTGGTAAGTGGTTTGGTTGGACCTTTTCACTTGGCGACCGCTTACCACTCGCTCGTAATGGCATTAATGTCACAGCTAGTTCCAGTCTTATTTCCACACATGTCTTGCAGTGTTTGGGGGGAGTAAGATGTTTTGTCTCTGACCACAGCTCTTTGGTTCAATCTGTTCTGTAGAAGAGACAAAACAAAGTAGTTTCCACTTGTTCCCTGCCAGATTGTCTTGTGTGTCTGTCTGTCTGTCTGTCTGTATATATATATATATACATATAATATAATTGTGAATTTGTGCTCAGAGCAGCTTTACATGTCGTATTAAGGAGACTTTTGTCATTCATGGGAAAATTCCCACAGCGGGTGCACTGAGTGACCTTTGAGAGTTGAAAAATGACACAGGACACAGACCGAGAGGGAAAATTCTTTAGATTTCCTTAGAAAAGCAGAAGAAAACAGGCAGTTTCTTGGAGAAGTTTGAAAAGAGAAGAGCCACTCCTCCCTCTGCCACGTTACAGACACCATATTAGACAATTCAATTCAGAAGCAATCCCAACTAAAAGACAAGAGTCAATTCTAAACAAAACATGAAATTAGAGAAAACATAAAGCAGGGAAGGATAGCAAAGTGAGGCACTACTTCTACTGAGACTACGAGCCTGAAGCATTATTACATGCAGCTATGCAAGCTCGGAGCTGGACCCCCGACTAACAGCTGAACAACACCGTCCTGGACCGGACAGCTGAACTGAATACTGGAATGGACTCAGGTGTGCAGTCAGACACGTGTCCGTTAATGTCAACCTAATGAGAGGTTGGGTAGCTGTGAAAGTCACCAGATTTGTGTTGAGGAGATGGTTTTGAAATGGCTCAGATGAGAGAAATAGATGTGCTGGGTGGCAGATCAGAGCTCCACAGTGGGCCGGCAGCTAGACCTGCTAACTGTGGTGGGTTGATTGTCAACAGTGACGGTGCCACAGGACAAAGAGACGGGTGGAAGGCAACGTCGATGGTCTGCTTAATGACTCACAATTGCGGGAAAATATGACTGCAAACCCAGACTGGTGTAACTGTGGGTTCTGAATTGACTACGACAGCCATCACGCCTGTGGGCAGGTGTGATTTAACCAGTTGTTCCAGCTGATGGCAAACAAGCAAAAAAAAAGCTGTGAAATATATAACGGTTGTTAAACTTCCCAAATCAAACCCTGACCCTTATGCCAGGGACATTATTTATCAGAGAGTGTTATTAATTTAGACGTTTTCCAGTTTGTTAATGTTCGGTTCTTATTAATCTAATTTTAAATAAACAGATTCAAAACATTTTCTTTGCTGATTTCTTGTTTTCTCTTTATGTAAGAAAATTAAGTCTTTAATAAATGATCCTCGTGGAATCTATTGCACATTATTCAAGATAATTCCAAAAAAGACCTGTAGCCTTTTGGTGACGCAGTTCTACACTTCCTTTGGTCATTTCTCATCTTTAACTTGTACTGGGATCCATGTGTGAAGAGAAAATTATTATCATACAATAAAATGAAATAGCCCTTTATTGAATTTTCTTTTAATCAATCCATAAAGGCCACTTTTTGATAATTTTGTTCAGTCAATTGGTTTCTGTGCTTTCTTTTCGTGATGTATTCTCCTTTTTCAACTGTCAATGTGCAGGTTTGTGTTTGGTTCGAAAAGATGTGCACCACAGAGGTTTACCTTCCCTTTAAGCTTTGAAATAGAAATACCGTGGGCATAAATTATACAAAAGTGCACAAAAGAGTAAACTAAATGAGAGATGTCACTTTGCAATCGGAGAATTAGTCATTTGAGCAGTTTTTTATAAACGTAATATTTCGTCTTTTTAGCCACTATTGGCAGAACTCTTTACACTTCAGCTGACTTGGGTTTGATTTGTGCTCTAAAGCTACACAAGTCAATATTTTTTTAATGGGCTGCATCTCAAAAGAGGATGTCGATATGAATAAACAGGCCGTTGCCTTTTGCTCAAAATAGTCCGGTTTTGATTTTGTTTACCGACAATTTTGAGAGTTTTTTGGAATTCAAGTTGCAGGGCTGACGGTTTGGAGTTGACTGAAGAGAATAGAAACATAACAAAACAAAAAAACAAAGGGAGAGGAGCGCTTACATCTTGCACTTGTGATGTTGTTTGACTCTGAGTGGAAGTGCCCGAGGTCGGAGGCTCCGTCCTGCCTCCTCCCCTAGATGTGGGTCAGTCCTGACTGACATGGACACTCTCTGTGTGGATGAAGAGGATTGGAGGCTAGCCAGCAAGCTAAACGTCTATTTATTCCCCCGAAAACTGATTAACACGTCTCACCCACGCCGGTCTCTGTGAGGGTTTAATTATCCTCGTTTTCAGAGTTCGCTGCATTCAAGCGGGCCGACTGTTGATGCTGAAATGAAAATAGAAATCTCCATTGAGCTTTGTTGCTCTCCACCCGAGTAATTAATGTTCATCATTACACTGCCTCTGACCTTTAAATAAAAAATATGCAAATGACAACAAAATCAAATCCAATTTGAGAAATTAGTGACATGTACATTCTGGCTGTTAAAAATACGTCTCATGGCATTAGCCCCAGTGTTTATCTCTGCATGCTAATTAGATGTTCAGCAGTATTCGGGTTTCCTGGGATGAGCAGGACGGTTCGGGATGTTTTGCTTTTTGAATAATCTTCCACGCCTCATCTCATAGTGGATCCCAATCCCAAGATTTGATTCATCTGGAGGGCTGATTCTCAGTCGTTCTGTGGCACCTTTCTGCCTCACACATGGGTGAGTTTTTAGCAATGTTTGATCTCATTTTCTCGGCTTGCTGAATGCACACGATTGGTGGTTCGCAGCAGAAGGTGGATAAACATGGCAAAGCAGAGAAGGGAACCTCAGTAATTAGAATATATTAGTCATAGGTATCAGAATACATGAGTCATATAAGGACACAGATATGTGATCAGTCAGGTGACCCGTCTGGGGGTGGGGTAAAAAAAAACAAGAACCAGTGTTTCTGGTTTTCAGTCAAACCTGAAACCACACTCGTACGCACACAGTCTCACAGCTGTGGTTCAGGTCAACATTTCTTCAAAGTTTGAGCCCAAAGTGCAAGTCAGTGATTCATCCACATTGTTGGAGGTCTTAATCCTCTCCAGGGATCCCGAAAAACAGGCAAAGGGTTACAAAACTGCTGTAAACATTGTTCATTGTTCACCCTACAGAGGTCAAACTGTGTGCGGAAAGCTGAACTATTTCCGTTTTTGTTCGGATAGGAACGAACAGCAGGATTTTGGTTTTCTGCCAACAGGTCACAACCAGCCCACCACCCCCCCCGCCATGAAGGTCCCGGTCCCAGGACCGCCTCACCACAAACGGCCCATTCACTGAGTCCCGTCAACACTGTGAGTTCTTGTGACTTCTCCAGTAGCGCTGCGGCCACTGAGGCGTTGTTTTAAGGCTTTTTGTTTGACTCTGATCGATAAAAATACAAATATCCTATTAGACGGATAACGTCAGAGGTTTCTTTGTCTTGGACGGTGCCTCCCAGTCCTGGTCCTGGGGCTACCGCGCCCTGTTTGCTGGAGCAGGTAGGCCTGACATGCAGGAGGGCCTGAGGAGCAGGGCGGGAAAACAGAGCCTTTTGCATCAGGCGAGCTCATCAGACTGCAGGTGTCTCCGTCGCTTTGGGGTGGACTCTCACACAGTCTGAGCGCGGCCAAAGCTGTTGTGCAGTGACCGCCGACAAAAGGCCAAGCCGTGCTCGTTTCTCCTGTTGGACGCACGCCTCCCGGCTGCTCCAGAGCAGAACTATGAGTTCAGTGATGTCCGTTTGACGAAAAGAGACATCAATGTTCAGGCTGAGCTCACTTTGAGAAACACCAGATATGTGCCTGATTCAGGCCCCCGCATGAAAATGGCCTGGATCTGAAAATAATGATTTTAAAAAAAGACAAAAAGATTTGTGTTGATCAGATTCCCCACAAAAAAAAAAGAAGATTTGTGGGCCACCTTAGAGAGGTTTGTATGTCATTTCGAGCTTAAAGGTCTTGGAGCTGTTGCTGAATAAATCGGGTGTGAAATCATTTAAAAGCAGCAAAGGGATTAAAGGGCTAGCGCAATTTATTAAGTAAATTCCTGACCCTCAGTTTAGTGTACTGAACCATTTCGGGTTAGATTTTTTTTTTTAAACCAAATCTGCCGGCCTGATGAGGGTTTGTGTTGGGGAATCAGTGGAGGATGCTCTTGAATCTCCATCTCCACCTTTGCTGACGGTTGTCATTCCTTGGACTCTGACAACCTCAAATACACATGAGGAGAACTCTGTTCATGATTACTATCATGTCGGTTTTAGTTCCTCAAAGTAGCAAACATCTTTGTTTGGTTTGATCAACAAAACCTGAGTTTAGTTAACTGGTGGTAAAGAGTTTTATAGATTTGATGAATAAGCTCACGATGTGAGCAGATTGGCCCAAATAAATGTTTGTTTTTTTCCAGCTGCACGTGGCTGCATCTGAGTAAAAGTGTTCAGTATCGACACAGAGCTTTTTCCACAGGTCCAGCTCCTGTTTTCACCGGGGTCGCTGTAGCCTTGGGAGCTAATTCGGGTTTACCTGGAGTCATTATTTAAAAGGTTTAAGGCTAATGTGTGATAGACTGTTTAGACTGAAGCTTCTCTTTTTGTTCGTCACAGATTACACACGTTAGGATAAAATAAATCATTTGTTTTTTTAAATGCTTCCAGGCAACTTGAATGATTATAAAAGGAAGTTGTTTGTCTTTTCCTAATGGCATCTTAAAAAAAAAAAAAAATTATTTCAAGGCTGCAGGAGCTTTCCTTTGATTCTTAGACCACCACTTGATACCATTTAAGAACCTCGCTAAGCAAAAATGGAAAAGCGTTTCTTTCTAAGAGAACAGAGATGACAGTTCATGGTCAAAGAAAAATCGGAAAACGATGCACTCCCTTTAGCATTAGTGGAAGAGAAGGCTCAGGCAGGTTTACTTGAACACATTTTAATAAAATCACTGAAAAATTTGCTATTCCAAACAGCAGAGCAGGACATAAGAGGTTGAAATGGGGTGACTTTAAAAACGAATGATCTGTTTTCAAGCATTTTGGAGTCCTTCAAGCCAGAATACTTAGCCATATGAAAAAAAAGTACTTTTGAGATATAAATCATAATATGGACGAGCAATTAAAAATGAGATATTTTTCACAGAATAATTAGTGAGCCGACATTTGTGGAGCTTACATGTAAGATATAAATGAGCTCCTTCTCCAAGCTGACGGCTTGAAACGATAAACCAGAGTCTGAGTTTGCCTAGCCCAGAGGCTGAACACGCCTCAAACTGTGTTGTGTTGAAGTTTGTGGGCTTGTCAGAGCTGCGGACCGCTCTGAGGGGCTTCATGTGCATTTTCTGATATTTCTAAAAACCTGCAGGTGTTTACTGAGGAGAGAGGTTTTTTACAGTTGTGTCTTTTATCAAAGCCCAGACTTCATCCTGTTCCTGAAAGTCCAGTTCGACACGCTCTCAGCACAGTGATGAGCTCCCGCTGTTTGTATCTAACCTACTCAGGTTTGTCCTCACAGGGAGCCATAGCCCGTCCCGTCAAGCCCTGCATGAAAATCTTTGTGTGTCACATGCACTAATGCCAAGCTGGCACTCAGACTCACAAGTGTGTGTGTGTGTGCGCGTGTATGTGTGTGTGTTTCAGGGCAAAATGCTCCTTGAGGCATCCAATCTCAAGTCAACATGTTATCAAGACATTATATTAGTGTTGTAAACGGAAACCATATCCCATCATGCATCAGCAATGGTTTTCTTATTTTTTACCAGCCGTGGCTTAGAAACATGCTGTAAGCGTCACATTGCATCAAACAAACAACTTCTTCCTCTGGTTTCACATCCCTTTATGCAACATAGCTTAGAAACATACCATTTAGTATTAAACAGGCATTTAAACTCCCTATCATATAAAAAGTGTTGTGGCAACAATAGAAACGGTAATTTCCTTTTCTCCTTTTAGAAAGATTTGTTTCATTTTGTAATTTTTTTTTTTTTTTTTTTTAGAAAAAAAAGACACTTGTTGAGGTTCCTGGGACTGACGCGGGGCAGTACGGTGAATGACTGATAGCAGAAACCGACCGATAGCCTTTCAGGAAGAAGCACGACACAAGGACACAGACGGTCAGTGTAAAGGCCGGTCAGCAGCTGCACGCCTCACCCTAATGATGTATTTTCCTTTAAAACACTAAACAATGAGCATCCAATTGTCCCTGAAGGTAGAATCCTTTAAAAAAAAAAAAGAGAGAAGAAAACCATACTTACACTACAACTAAAACAGGTCTGAGAAAAGGAGTGTGTGTATTGGCTACATGAAACTCTTTGCTGTTCGTAAAACTCTCTGGATTCAGTTCAGGGAGCTTTGGGGGAGAGGCCAGGCCGTGCTCAGCAGTCTGGAAAGCCGGCCTCCCGCCCTGGTCGCAGTATTTAGTGTGTTTGTAAAAGTGAGGGTGATTTGCCCAGGAAGATGAGTATCTTTCTGGCTTCCTAATCTGAACTCCCCCAGCTTATCTCTCCTCTCCGGAGGCTTCCTCTTTCATATCTCTCCCCTGCTTCCCCTCTCATCTCCTTTCTTCTGTCCTCTGAGTGCGCACCCGTCCATTCATCCGTCTCCTTTCCATCCCTTCCATCTTCCTTTCGCGCTGCTCCCTAACTCCAAACTCCTCTCCTCTCTTTGTGTCCATCCTCCATGGCAGTATTTAGAAACAAAAGCTCGGGCGGTCCGATCTAAGGCTCTTCCTCCCCGGTGGACACGGCCAGCCGCATGGCCACAGACAGGTGGTCAGTGAGGCCGGCCAGCTGGGTGACGAAGCTGAACTCCTCCATTTCCTGCAAGCAGAAGAATTATCGCGACTCCGTTACGTTCAACGTTACATTCAGAGCAAATGATTGTGTCTGTGTCGGGAGCTGGGAATCCACGTGAGGAACTTTGATTATCGGGGAATTTTGAAAGAAGAAACCAGAAAGTTTGAGGAGTTTTTCAATAACAATGCTGTTTGTTTTCCTCCTAATCTGCATATTACTAATAGCAACAAGCAGAAGTCAGCTTGAGTGTTCAGCTAAATATCTGAAACTTTATCATTATTTCAGAAAACAAACTGAATCTGTGCTTGCAGTGCTGTCAGCTTCATGCTCACCCAAAGAAGAAAATAAGTTGTTTCCAACAAAAAACAAAAAAAACAACAGCAACTAAACTGCTTCTCTAACAACATAAAAAACAGAAGCATCTGTTAGGTATAAGAGAAGTAATAAAATATCTTCAGGCTGATCTCACTGTGAAGTCCCGTGAATGTTTCCACCTCTCCAAAAACCTGTCAGAGCAGATTTCTGATTAAAAGGAATATCTGGGGATTTTTCATTTAAACAACACAACCGTAACCTTTCTGTGTCAAACCTCTATAAGATGCAAACGTCAAATCTCATTAACATTTCAGTAGTCCATAAATCACTAAAACCGGATTATTTGCGTGCATATTTACCAGATGGTGCCTGGTTTGTTTGCTTCTGGTGCTTGTCAGTCCAACAACTATGTTTAACATTGACTTTTAGTATAATTTTAGTACAAATTTGGTTTTTGATATTTAATTCTTATTGTTAATCTTCATAACGTCTTCATTTATATTTATAAAAGGATTTAGTTTCTTTACAGATTTATTACCTCTGCTTCTGATTGTGCACAACAGAATTTTGAGCAAAGTTTTAAACCATTAAATGATACAAAAAGTCTCAGATGCAAAACATCTACAGGGCTAGGGCTAGTCTGACTCCTCCTGCTGGCTTCAGTTTGCTGATAAACTGCAGAGAAAACTCCCATGACCTCTCAGAAGCCCTTTTCTGCGTCCTCCTTGGGTTTGCCCATGAGTGAATAGCTTTGTTTAAACTGCTGGGCCATTCCCCAGCCGCTATCTCAGACTCTCTCTTGGAGGAACTGAAACTACTCGTCTTTGTCAAAACATGGTGACCAACCCTCGGGCAAAAGAATGCAGTCGGTGTCTCATTTGGTCATGTCGGGTGCTTTCCAGCAATTACTCACAGCCACAAGTTTAACTTTCACGCAGCTGTGCACCCACAATCCACATCTCGAACAACTCTCCATTAGTCCACATGACTGATCTTCCTAAATGCTGCTAAATTAATAAGTGATGACTGGTCACTGTTATCGACTTCAGCATTCAGCTCAGCAGAAACATTCAATTTAGGTCTTTTTTTTAACATGTTCTTGTTTCTGAGTCCATAAACAGACACAATATGATAAATACAGATGTGTATATGCTGGAACAGATGTTATAGGGTTGTATGAATTGCCACAAGGTGGCGCCAGGTAGCTGAAGTCTGAAGGCAAAGGGCCAGGGAGACGGAGAGGCGAGCCTTGGAAATCACATGATTCGGTTTTTTAATCCCTCACAGAGGCCCCTGAACCGTCGGTGTTCTCATCCTCTAGACGAAACACCGCCTCACGTGGATCGAAGGGATCAGCACAGAACATCCGCTCCTGAATCCTACCAGTTTCCAGTCCGGCTGCTGGCCCTCGTCGCTGTAGAGGATGTAATCGATGCGGCGCCCGTTTCCCTTCAGCGGGATCTTCCTCCCCTTCTGACTGCTGGCCGGACACTGGTTTTTACTGGGAGGAAACACCAGGTACTCCTTCCTGCCCTCCTCATTCTCCATCACTCTGAAGGAGACACAACACACTGAGGTTTGGAACCTGACCCCCATCAGGATTTGGTTTAATCATGCCTGTTATGATCTCACTACGGTCATTTCCTGCATTATTCAGCTGCACAACAACTGGGCGACCAAACTACAGTTACCTTTTTCACTCTAATTCTCTGATCAAACATCTGTGCTGACGGTAAAGCACATGTCCTTTAAAAATCTCCAGGTTAATTTGGCCAAAAAAAGTCTTCAATTTGAATTGAGAACCTGTAAATTCTTTTGGGTTAATCAGAATGCTTGCACAGGCCGTCTCCTTTTGATAGAGACCTATTTTGACCAAGTGAGTCAAAAGATATATAAATTAGAATGTATATAAAATATTCTAAATCAGAAAAATATCTTTAAAAAGCTTGACTTATGTACATTAACATATAACTACATTCTAGCTATGGTTATAGTTATATCACTTTGGCTGAGACTTTATTTATATCGAGGTTTGACTCAAACAGAGTAACTTTCATCATTTTAGAGTTAAACTTAATAAACTGCAGAGCTCATTCTGTCATCATGAATGCGCTCATGTGGTTATCTCGACCAAAGAAGAGGCTGATTTCTACAGATAAGGACGTAATGAACTTGTTATGACACACAAACAACGTCAAAGGACAAACAATAATGGATGCAGGTCCTAAACGTGTGAGTGACTCACTTTTGTAAACTTTCGGGTGAGCTGACGTCGTCGTCGTAAAGGCCACTGGGATCCAGCAGAGTACCTGTGGAACAGCACAAACTGCACATCAGCCTCTAAAAACAGCCAGTGAGCTGCCTTCAGAGCGCTTCCGTCCTCGTTCAGGTGGGGAAAGGTTTGAAAGGGGTGGGTGACAGTTGGAGGGGCCTCCTGGAATAGACACGTCTGGCTGTTTCATACTGTAAATCTGCGCCTCTAAACACACATCTGGCTCACATCTGCCTGTCCTGCCAGAGGGATCCCCCCTTGGTTGCTTTTTGACAAATCCCCCCCCACCGTCGCACTGGTAGGAAATGGGCTTTTGGTCGACACCTGTCAGTTTGCATGTTTGGAGCTGTGGACAGACTCTGCTCCGTCCCAGCGGAGCGTTTTGTTTGTTCTCGTGTTTGCAGTTTCATCAGCTACTGGCGTTCGGCAGCTGCGATTTTCTCACATCCGTGGACGCGTGGAGATTTTCTAAGTGTGGCATCAACAGATGGAACTTGTTGCAGCAAACGTTTCTGCTCCTCTGAGAACCAGCAGTTTCCTGAAGCCCGCTGATGGAGCTCCTCTTCTGGACGTCACGGACACCATTTGGCCACGAGAGACTCATGGTCACATGTGCAGATAAACAAGGTTATAAAGATAAACGTGGTCCTGGCTGAGTTGATAGATAACCAAAGCAGTTGGATGAGTTACAATTTAAAATGGTGAATTCGTCTGATTGCTTTCTAAAAAAAGACTTTATAGAGTTTAGAATGATTTGAGGTCATGACAGTAGGGTCAGAAACAGACTGTGTAGGTGTGGCCTGTTCTCTGGAAAAAGGACCTGGCAGCACGGCTCAGGTCTGCAAAGGCTTCAGGAACAAAGTCCTTTAGACGGAGCAGACCAAAGTGGAGGTGTTTGCTCAAAATCCACAAAAAAGCAAACCCAGCATGTCAGCACGGTGGGGGAGGCGTGATGATGTGGGCTGGTTCTGCAGCATCAGGACCTGGGAGTCCACCATGAACTCCTCTGGACACCAAAGTGTTCAGAGTCAGATGTGAGGCCGTCGGTCCCACAGCTGAAGCTGGGCTGAAACTGGACCACCAACAGGACAAAGACCCCAAATCCACAACAGACAGTCTGGAAAAGACCAGAATCCAGGAGCTGCAGGGTCCAGCCAGAGACCAGACCTCCGCCTGACTGAATGCTGTGAGGACCTTCAGAGAGCTGAAGCAACGATGGAGGGAAGAGAGGGACCAAAATCCTCCAGAGACTGACAACAACACCCAGAAACCGACTTACTGCTGATTCAGGAGCTTCTACCAGCTGCTGGACCATGAGGAAGATACAGTTTTACACACTGTGACTGACACACAAAGAGTCATTTGACGGTCAGGGCCCAAAAGTTACTAAACCCCAGAAAAATGCACAAGGAATACACCTATTGAAAAATAAATCTAACAGAAGATACTGTAAATTAAAAATAAAGACTAGAACAGAGCTAGAATCTAAGTCAGGTCATCAAATGTCAGGATAAGTAATCATGCAGGGCTCGGATCAGCTGTTTGTTGGCATTACATAACAGCAAACCTCTTTATTGATCTACTGTAAGCTACACAAGCCTCCTCTCTCTGCCACGACCAGGTTCTTGTCTCCACTAGAGGTAGAGTGAAAGGCAGCGGTGAGAAGGAGAGCTCTCAGATCCGGCTGACGGCGAGGCCATTAAGGCAGGAAAGAGCAGCCCTCTGAAGTAACTCCAGTCGGCTCAGGAGTGCCGGGAGCTCTTGAGAGAAGTGGGCGTCTGATGTGCAGACCGCGGCGTTCACGACCGTAAGAGCTGGTTATGGATCGGGGGTCCCCAGATCACAATGGGATGGTTCCCTCCTCCTCCTGCATGGTGAACTCAAAGGAATCGTCGGGAGCGGAGCGGCACTCTCTGACAGAGAGGATTTTTATTTTCACAGCTTCCGTCGTGTGAAGTTGCTTTCGCTCTTTCTTTTTTTTTTAGCTCTCCTGTTGGTCGCATTTCCCAGCGGATTACACTGCATCCCAAATCCATTTTTACAGGGTCCACAGACCACAGTGAGGAGAACGCCTGACTATAGCTGGAGGTCTGGACTCCCCTTCTGCCCCCGTCGCCTCACAGTTGGGTTAATCCATCCAACCATCCATCCATCCATTACTGAACCGCCTATTCCTTAATGGGGTAGCGGCGGGACTGGAGCCTATCCCAGTAGTCAATGGATGAGAGGTGGGGTCACCCTGGACGGTCCACCAGTCCATCGCAGGGACACACAGAGACACACAAGGACCAACAACCACACACTCACTCCTAAGGGCAGTTTGGAGTGTCCAACCAACCTAACATGCAGGTTTTTGGACGGTGGGAGGAAGCCGGAGAACCTGGAGAGAACCCACCAGACACAGGGAGAACATGCAGACTCTACACAGAAAGGTCCTGGTTCCCCCAGAACCCTCTGTGAGGCGATGGTGCTAACCCCCACACCACCGTGGGACCCCCATTTTGGTTCATCGGGGCCTAATCGTCTTTGGATAATCGTCCTGAAATGGGAAACCCTTCCCCCTCTTTCTCTCATGGATTCATTGATCCGTTCCTGTATCCTCGCCTCCCTCTTCCTCCTCTGACTAACAGCAGAAAATAAACAAGGCCTCCTTCAAACGAGCCCTTTCACTCCGCTCTGCCCACGCTGTCCCTGAAAATACCGCTGGCCTAAATAACTCTCGCTATCCAGACCAAAAACCCCCTCCAGTCTTTACGTCACTAATGCCCGCGCATCAGCCCGCCGCGCTGGCCGCGTTTTTTTTAATTCACCGGTGGGCGCGTCCCGATTTAGCCCCGACAGGAGGCAGATTAAGCCCCGCCCGGCTCTGCGGCCGCCGCGCCGGGCGCTCCCGGGCCCGGTTCACCTGTGCTGTGCATGTGTCTCTCAACCAGCCCATGTGATCTGTGTCAGCTAAAGCCAACAGCCCTGAGTGTGTGTGTGTGTGTGTGTGTGTGTGCTCCTACCCAGAGCCCACGGTTTGTCCTCCCCTGGCCCCAGGCGACACGGGTCCTTGTACTGGGTGAAAAGTGCGTGCTGCTGCTCCAGCTTGTCCTCTGGAAAAAGCACAAAGACAGGCAGCTGCTGCAGAGTCACACAGAAACAAAGCCGTCGGAAATGCCGTTTCATTTCCAGAGGGCCTTTTAAGAGCGTTTCCGACATTGAACAGCAAACTCCTACGCAGGAGTTAAGCTTTTCCTTCACCTGTTGAGGCTCAAATGTGGAGCAGTCCAGAGAATTCATCGTTTTTTTTCCTGCTTTGATTAATTTCAAGTGAGAGACGACAGTTTGTCTATAATTAAAGACATTTTTAATCGATTTTAAAGGTTATTATTTAGTGTCTGCCATGCTGGATGCTAAAAATGCAGAAGAAAAAATAAGATGGGTGTTTGCACACTGTAGTTCACCTCCAGGCATCTATTATTAACGGAAAGTACATAAATATCTTATTGTTTTCCACTGTGTGGAGGCCGGCCCTGTGCCTCTCTCCTCTGTGGCATGAAAGCAGCCCCATTCCTATTGGACGGATAACAAATGACACCTGTTAGCTGTGTGCAAACCATCATCAGCAGCCACCAGGGTGCCCCCAAACTGGATGTTTGGCCTCATTTTGGGAGAGTCAAAATAGCCCGTTTTTCCTTTTGCTCTGCTTTGTGCTCGTTGGACGGCCCGCATGCAAAGGCCAGGATTTTTTTAGTTTTTTGCATATTTTCTCCCATCACAGCACTTTTTTGATTTCCTTTCGGGAGCTTCTCTCAGTAGGAAAACTCTAAACTTTCAGAGTGAACATTTGAACATAAAGAAGTTAGTGTCTGTTTGATTTGTTGACCACAGTGTCTCAACGTGAGCTGTTTGGGAGCTGTTTGATATAACATCTTTAATGAGTTTTAAGTCTCCTGTTCTTTGAATCTTCCTGATGTTTTTGTGGTTTGCCCATTTTTGTTCTTTTGGTTCTACGTTCTGAAATCTTTCACCAGCAGCCTGTTTTGTTCTTTGACGTGTAACAGCCATATTTGTGGATCTTCTAACAGATAGGGATAAAACCAGTGCATCCCCACAAATAGTTTTTTTTGTTTTTTTGTTGGTCAGGGTCAAAAAGAGAGAAAGCAGACCTGATGAGCAGTTGTCGAAGTTGAGGTCTCCCAGGATGACATCGAAGGCCACCAGGTCCTCCAGCACCTTCTCTCCCTCCGGAGGTCGGGATGAGGATTGGCGAAACTCGGCCCCCCACTGGAGCAGCAGGTCCAGCTGCTCGCAGCGGACCGCCGCGTCACCTGCACACAAACGCACACAGGGCGCCGTCACTCTCTCTGTGCCGCCGGCGCCAGAGAGCCAGATGAAGGTGGAGGAAGGAGGAGGTGAGCCCGGGCTGAGAGCATGCGAGGGAACAGATGAATAGAGGAGAGTGTGAGAAACAAAGAGGTGTCGGGATGCTGGAGGGTGAGTAGGTGGCTCTGGCTTTGATTACGCTCGGCTGCAGCTCGAGTGCGTGTGAATTTGTGTGTGTGTGTTCTTCTGGACGCCTCACACACACACACACACACACGGACGAGGCCGAGGGATGTGGGGGCGCGCTCGTTGTGAGTCTGCCCGTGTGCGTGAGCAGAAAGTTAACCGCGGACAAAAATTGCATCGAGAACAACAAAGCCTTGATTTGTGCACGTACGGAATGTTTTCAAAGGATATCAAAAAGCTTTTTAAAGTGATCAAACTGCAGCTTTGGTGATCTGACGGGCGAATCCTCGAGTCAGTTGACCCAAAAAGCGAAAATGTGGGGAAGGCCTCGCGTCTTCCAGCCTTTTTCAGTCTTTTTTCGCTCCAAATCGAACTCTAGATCAGCACCTATTTGTCATAAACTGTAAAACGACTGTTCGCCTGAAAGCTAAGTAACGATTTATGAGTGCATCAGGAAACTGTGACTAATTTGCTGTGTTTTTTTAATGGGAATCAACAGTGTAATTAACAGTTCACGATCAGTTAAATGTATTCTGGGTTTTGGGTTTAAAGTTCAGCCTTTCTCACAACAGGATCTAAAAAGACACAGAGACCGAGTTAGAAGCTGAGTACATGTAATTTTCCATTTTTAATGGGCGTAATACACATTTTACAGCACCATTAAAACACTATGCACTTTCTTAACCCTTCAGCCTGATCCAAGAAAATATATAGAGATTTTTTTTTGTTGAAATCTTCATTCTGCCCTTTAACAAAGTAGGAAAAAAAGAAAAATGTTTGAAATATTAATCATTTTTTACTGTGCAATAAGTCAAATGTGATTGTGTAAAGGTTTTTACTGTTAAATGATGCAAAAGGTGTCAGATGCAAAGCATTTCAGAATCTGTGTGCATTAAACATGATACACATGGTGTTATACGGCTAAGAAACGAAAATGTTTCATTCAACCCTTTGAAATCCTAATTAAATATGGACACATTGGTCATTTAGTGATTATTACTTTGCATTTGCTCCATATTTGGAATCTACCTCAGTTTTAAATTTACAGATCATAAATTAATGCAATTTTGGGAATTTCTTGGACCTTTAAAAGGCCAGTATTCTTATCTGTTTTCAGTACCAAATAACCTATTTAGAACATTTTAAGGAGTATTGCTTATCATCTTTACTCAGATCTGATAGAGGGTTAATAAAATATTCATGTTGCTGCATTTTTGTCAGCTTAGAAAATAAAGAATACTTGATGCTAGGAAAGGATTTTCCATTGGGGTTGATTTCTTTTTGTGTCGTCTTGCACTTGTTGGATTGCTGAATCCAACAAGCTGAATGCTTTCAAGCGGCCGTGATGCGCATGATGAGAGGCTCATTAGCATGAGGCGGGGAGTCGGAGCAACTGGTGTATGAAAAGCTTTTATGACAGCTGTGAGACGGAGCGACGAGAACACCTGAACATCACCGTTCCGCTCAGAGTCTGATCGCTCTGGGTGCCGGCAGCTCTGCGTCTTCAGGCTTAAACTCCTTCAGACTTAGAGAGCCTTCATCTACCACTCCCTCTTCTCAGAACAGAACCAGGTCTCTGCACTCCTCCCCCCTGTTTTTCCTCCCTGCCTCGGCCCCTCACTCCAGCCCCCCCCCCCCCACACCACCCCCTCACCTCCGAGGGGCTTTATCTTTGATGTATCTTTAGAAACAGCTCTGGCACGGCTATATTTAGACCTGCAAGAAGCGTAGGAGAGGCCCAGAATAGCAGGCGGAGGGAGGGATGTGTCTCTGTTAAAAAATGAGGGTGGCATCGACCGGAGGCTTTAAATAGGGTCCGTGACGCCTCAAACAGCTTGAGGCAGTCGCCATGGGAACAGCAGGAGGAGGTACGCGCAGGTTTAGATGCGCTCGTTTGTCTAAGTATCCGGACACAGAGGCGATCCGGGCAGTGCTGAGACGATTTCCAGCCTCCGGACGCAGCAGCTCGTCGGACGCCTAAAAAAAGACGAGCAACAGACACAAGCCTACCTTCTATGGCGTGGAGGTGCGTGCACGTGAGGTATCCCACAACCCTTTGCTCCTGATGCGAGGTGCCCACGTGAACCTGCAGGGATCAGAGGAAAAACACGGGTGACGTCACGGCGACAGTAAAGCCGATTAAAGCAAGAACATCAACATCCGATTGGTCCAGATCAGCGGAAAACTGAAGGCACTCAAATTCCAGCTGTGACCCCCCGTGATTACAACCATTCAGAGGTGCGGCGCGGCACAAATACACAAGAATGCGTCTTATGCTGTCATCTCTGCAGCAGTCTAGCTGCTGGAAATTCACCGCCATGTTGTGCGATGATTGTAATTTTAAGTTCTGAGCTCTTAGCAATCAGCTTTAATAGGCGGCATTTAAAAACCAAGCACAGAATATATGAGGCAGAATATTCATGGGAGATGTAAAACACAGGGAGAACGTGCAAACTCCACGCAGAAAACTCCCGGTTCCCCCGAAGACTCGGACCAGGAACCATATACTACCGACCACCACCGTATGAGGAAACCCCATATCTCAAATGATCCATTGATCATAGAAGTACACTTTGATATAAAAACATGAAGCTCCAGGACTTTTCACGCCAGAATATTCAGCACGCTCGGTTCAATTCCTCTGTGAGGGGAACGTTGAAATATTTAAGACGTTTCTTTTGTTTGGTTCCCTTTCGCACTGCGCTTTGGAGAGCCGGAACAAACGGCCTGTACGCTGAACAACAAACGCTCTGCTGCTACGCTGCTGTCCAAAACCAGCCCTGACCAGAAGGAGAAGAGGCCAGGGGAAGAAGAAAACCCGGCTAAAACACGAAAAAAGGAAAGTGCTTTTGCAGTGGCACCATTCTGTGACACCTGAGGAAGTGCCCGATATCAAGCTAAATAGTTGTCTACAACTTTGTTGTTTATTAGATTCGGCAATTTTGATCTAAACCAGCTTTTGCTCAAACACATTTTCAAGTTTAGTGTTTAGAGTTGATTTACTCACACATAAATGCTGCAAAGTGCATTATATCTGAGGCTTTATTAGCACACAGGTTACATTAAAACTGACAGACCAGTAACATTTAGGTTCAGGTATCTGAGATGTTCAGGGAGGATGTTTTTGAACTTAAGAAACTTATGTGATTCCTGGTTACGCAACACCCCCCCCCCTCCCGGCACTTGAGGATCAAACACACTCTTTTGCTTCACTGTCACTTGACATTTTTTGGGGGATTTTGATGGTGTCTTTGTGGCTTTTTCGCCATGAAAACAAATGTCGGTCTTTGGCTTTACATTTGCTGGATTGTCACAGATATTTAAAAAATCTTTTTGACTGTGGCGTATCTGTAAATAACTGTATATCCCACAGTTGTGGCGAATGAGTTCTTTCATCTTTTACTAACAGCTTGTATTCGTTGTTCACTTAATCTGAAGCATTGAGGCCGATTACAGCCCAGTGGAGCTATTTTTATCATTTAAGGGCCTTCTGGATCCCTCAGGCTCAACATCATTACCTAACATAAGAAAATAAGCAGGTGAAAAAGCCTTTTCTTGCACAAAAATAGTGCTGATCGTTATCTGATCCCCAAACGTGCCCCCCGAACAGCAGCAGCCCTGACACTGTACAGCATTATGAATGGTCCACTGTGGTCCCGGGAGCACTAAACGGGTTTATCAGCAGGAAACAACCTCAAAAAAGGCCTCTGCATTACCACAAAGATTACTTCATTTCTGTATGAACGAGCATCTGTCTTTATTTTCAGACATTATCAAGCTGAACTTAGAGAAAATCTCCTCAAGCTAAACAGCACGGATCAACTTTACACGTCTTCATAACCTCGTTTCTCCACTCCGAGAGCAGCAGATAGAGAGCCAAGCCACCGCAACGAGACATCACTCCAGATTTAATCTGACACCTCCGGCATCGGCGCTGAGGAGTCCTGAAGGACGGCGAAGGCAGCGGCTGGCAGCTCTGGAGTGTCAGTGGGTGGATGCGGGCTGACGAGGCTGAGCACGGATAAAAGGGCGGCAGAAGAGAAAAAGCGAGATGCTGATTGTGGGGCGGTTCCGTTGAAGTGTGAAGGCGTCTGACGGAGGGGTGGGGGGTGGTGGGGGGATCTGTTACCAGACAGAAAACATCTCTGCTGGAAGTCTCGGCTCGGGGATGGCCCCAAACAGAAGGGGTCCTGCTCGGTAAACAGATCCCCAGAAGGCGCCAGCCTCAAAATTCAAGTTTTAGTTTTGTTTTTCTCCCACCAGATTACTGTTGACTGACTGGCTGTTGTAAGACAGCTCTGGAAGCTCGCTATCAGACAACGGTTTCGTGAGTAATCCCAGAAAACATCGCCTCCATTCCCGAGTCCTTTTATTTATTCATGCCTGTGTTCACCAGCTGCTCTATTTTTGTCGTGTTGCGCTCCTGTGTGGCCTAAATCACAGGCGTAAGAGGGCGCTCACTTCGATGGCTGGAAAAGAAGGAATGACCTTATCACCACATATCAGAGTCTTCCGAAATAAGTCATATGAGTTATTTATATGCCCCACAGGTCCGGGAGGGGGGACCTCGCTATCCAGCTGCTCCTGTGGGACCCTGAGGCGCTCGCTGGGCAGAAGGACTCTATAATCCCTCCAGGGGTTCCCAGGAGCCTCGGCCAAGTTGGATGTGCCTGGAGGACCAGGCGGCATCCTAACCAGATGCCCCAACCAGCCGTACTGACTCCCTCTAATGCGACTCGGCTCTGAGCACCCCAGACAAACTCACTAAAATCTCCAAGGAGACAAAGATGGAACAACTCCTGGTGGACTGGGAGGTGGTATGATGACGAGTTCCATGAATACTTCAGGGTTACAAGTGAAAATGAGATACATATTTAACATCTTTTTTGTTTTTTTGGACTCAAAAAAAGTGTTATGAAAAATCTCAGACCGCAGCCAACAACAACAAAAACAGTGAATGGAGAAGTGTACACACAGCTCTACCTGCAAGCTGCCTCCTAATTCCTAAATATGTTTAGACAAAAACAGCCAAAATGCAACTTCTTTTTGCCAATACTTGATATTTTCTGAATGTCTGAGCAGCATCCCTCCAATATTTTTAAATCAGATCCTCCAACTGTTTTTAGATAGAACTGATTTATATGGAAGTAGAATTTGTAAAAAGCTCCAAAAAGAGTTAAGAATGAAGAAGAAAAAGCAACTTGGGGTCAGACAATGTGAGGATGTGAGAAAGTACATTGACTCACAAAAAACAATTGACTGGAATACAACAAGCCAAACGAGAGGATGTGAGGACAAAAAGGAGGGGAACTAGATGAGAGAATCAAAGCAAAAAAAAAGACAGAAAGCAAAATCAAAGGGAATGGGACTTCGAAATGAAACAGGACTCAGCTGACATGAGGAAAACTGACAAAGAACCAGCAAAAAACAAGACAGAGGAGATGAAACAAAGGAGAACCTCTGCTCCATCAGCCCCTTTCCGATTTAAAAAACATTCTTCTTACTTTGCTGTCTCGTTATAACGAGGAAGGAAAAACAGCATTTTCCTCTCCTGTGAATTAGCCTTAGTGTTAAAGCACCGAGCTTCCATTTAGACAAATCGAGACCGACTGCCAAATATGGGACGGCTGTCTTGGCTTGGCGTCTGTGCAGAACCTCTCATAAAAGCAAGAAAAATAACCTCAAGAGCCACAGTAAAACATTATCCTAATTAGCCACTTTAATCTCAAACACGAGCTAACGCAGTGGACTGGGGGGCAGTAAGTACACCTTGCTGAACAGGCCATATATTTCCCCACTAATTCAATTACTCCTAATGGAGTGAGTGTTTTTGTGGGAGTGGGTGAGGCGGAATTGCAGAAAATACTTGTTCAATTTTGTTAAATGCACAGCAAGATGGTACATTAGCTTTACTAATGACGTTGCATCAAATAAACGATAATAACTGTGGGTTTCTTAAACTGTGTTGGGTAAATATGATGGCTTCACTAACTTATAGACCCCCATAATCAACGGGATAATTCAACATTATGGGGGAGATGAGAGGACCCAAATGCAAACTTTAATAAAAGTTCAACTTGATTAAACATTAAGAACCTGATGATCTGGAGTATTGGGATCTATCTTTTGAGTTTTCTGGCAAATTTCATGGTTTTATGAGTGAATCAAGAATAGATAAAAAGCCTTTTAAAGAATGGAAACAAAAAAGAACAAGAAATCAAATATCCTTTCCACGTATCCTTCCTCCACTTTAGCTTAAATGACTTTAGGCTGAGGGGAAAGCAGCCAGTCTACGTCCGGTAGAGCAGTATGGTCTTAAAACTTTCCCTAAATCTCTCCGAATAGGTCCTACTTCTCTCCCCACCAGTCGTTGCCTTCATCCCCCTCTTCGCCTGCTAGCCCTGCTCTGTATTAACATTTCTTATATGTGCATCAATAGGTGTGTGTGCACCCTAAAACTGACAGCAGGCCTGGGGGGGATTTCCCCACGTCTGCGTGCGTAGGTGCACATGCACGAGATTCGAGACTGGACATTTAATGTGTCATCCATGAAGTCCGGTTGGTCCCAGGCTTGTCAAAGCTGGGAGCCCTAATGAAGAGAGGCCTCCTCCTGGGAGCCGGGAGGGCTGAAAGCAGCCCCCTCTTCCCTCCGCTCTGTATGAGCAGTAGCAAAAAGTCATTAAGGCTTTTGAAATCGAGCAAACGAGTCAGGAAGCGGGACGTTGGGCGCAGAGACGGAGCTGAAACCGGCCGTTAGAGGCGATTTCACACTTGACGCCAGCCGAGTGGGGAAAGTCTGATCACGAGGCCTCAGAGCCCGCTGTAAATAATTACTTTAACTCTACCAAACCGAGACTTCACCTCGTGTTACTCGCACGGGCTTGACGGCTTCACTTGAAGACGAAGCAGCCAATCGGTTGTGATGGACAGCGAGCGGCAGATGTGCTGCTGTCTCCAAATGAACCAAATTAGTTCGGTCTTTTCTTTCTTGGCAGCAGCGACGTCTTCGCTGCACACAGTCAACTCTTATGCGGTGCTAAAACTTTACTGGTCCTGCCATTAGCGAATTAGATCCACTTTAAGTTCCAGCTTGTTACTCTGAGTTAAATCAGTGGCACCTCAAAGTGTCTTAAAGCGGCTGAAAGTAATCTAAATCGTCAAGAATCATTCACAGCAAACAGACCGAGTTTGACAAGGGTGTCAAACTTTGGTCCTCAAGTAGATGTTTCCTTTAATTTACATAACAAAGATCAATTTCTTCTGAATCAGGTGGGTTTTAGCAGGAAACATCCACTACGTGTAAAAGACTGGAGTTTCTGTGCTGCCTCAGGAGATTCTCAGGAGATTTAAACATCAAATTAGCCTAAAATAGTTCAATAACATCAAGATAAAAAAAATAAAAAAAATTCAATAAGTCTTTTTCCATCCAACATTCTTTGAACACATCAGTTAATGCATTCCTGTAGGCTAAGTTTCAATATGGCCTGCCAGTTTCCCATTTTTATCATTTTTAGATTTATTCCAAAAGTTGTTCCTACTTTTTATTCTTTGTAGTAAACTTGAATATATATTTTTTAGCTTTTTTCCTGTAAAAATTGCAGGAAAATTCGTTGCAGGAAGAGATGCTACTAATCACTGATTCATTCATTCTGGTCGACAGAAGCCTGGGATGGATTTGGGGAATTCTGCCATCGATTTCCATGACCCACTTTGGATTTGTGCAGGTCCCTGTTTCCTAATCCATAGTAATTCAGTCAGACTGTGAATTTACACACAAACGCACACGTGACCCCTCATGCACTCGGTGGTTTTAAATAATTAGAGGAGGGGATAAATGTTGAGACCGAAAAGCTTTAATTGCTGTACCGGCGCTGGCTTCGTCTTCAGGGAGACATTTTTTAATTAATATTCTCTCTCCTCCCCCCTCCCTCCTGGGGCGTCAGGGCTCTGCAGGAGGCAGATTTACGCTGCTGACCTGCTGCTGCTCTCCAGGTAAACACACCCACGGGGAAATCAAAGAATTTGGGTTTTCCCCTGAGGTGCATTTGCTGGATTCAAACTTCAGATGCGTTCAACATAATTGAAACAAAGAAGAGCGGAGAACAGCCATGGTGGATTTTTTTTACTTAATAGTCTCATTTGCCAGAGAAATGAGTCAGACCCCCACCGACAACAGCGACTGATTATGCAGAGCCACGAAGAACGCTGAGTGTCAATTAAAAGTCTCCGGTTCCTCCGAATATGTGCACGGTGACGTCTGTACGCCGGAGGTTATGGAAAGGTGAACCCTTCTGCTGGAGGGAATTCAGACGTGCCTCTAGCTCGTCTAAAACAATATCACAAACAGTCAGACCTCACTCGGTCTAACTAAAAGTTGTCGTGCGAGTTTTGAAAACATGACATGATTTAAGTTTATGTGATTTTGATAAGATGAGCTTTCAGTGAACACAAATGTCACATGTAGCCATTTTGTGAAATGAAATTCTGAACGTCCAAAACATTCAACTAAGTGATCAAATAACCACTGAACAATTACAGTGCAACAAAAAGGTGTAATCAGGGCCGGATTTTTGTTTTCTGACTCTCTTTTCGCTTCTTGCTTACTTCTGGCTCTTGAATTCTTTGTTTCGTCTTGTGTTTTGCAGAGTATACCCCTCAGCTCCTCCAAAGTCGATTAAATTCTATTAACACGGTGCCAAATAACAACAAAATTAATCTCAGGGCGCTTAAAAACACACATACTGCCAACTTTAAGCCTGTTAGAATCTAGTTCATTCGAAGACAATCAAAGTCCAATCAGTCCCAGTTAATTGAATTCCCAAAACATCCAATTTATTCCATTATAACTGTGAAAAAGGCAATCAATGAAAAAAATATATAAAGAGTTTTTCAAAAAATTCAACTCCTTCAAAAGCCAGAGTAGAAAAGTGGGTTTGTATTTTCATCATTATGGGACATAACTGAGCCTAAATGTTCTTTATTCTAGTTTCAAACTGAGGAGAAATGAGAAGGCAAAACAAAACGGAGATATTTGAGGGTGTTTTTCCCTGGACGTGTGCACCCAGGCTGTCCCCTAAAAGATGGACAGAACAGCTCAGTGGAATCCGGCCGAGATCAGACAAAACGTCTCCGGCAAAAATCCCAAAGCGAACCCAACAGCTGCCACCTGAAACCTGAAGCTGAGGCCGTATCCGATCGAGCAGCACCCCAAAGAAGAAGAGACCCACCATACAGAGCAAAAAGCAGTGTTTGTCTAGCTGATCAGACGCGTGTCGGCCGGCTGAGCGGGCGGCGGGTGGCGGGGCGGAGGTGAGGGGTCGGGCCCTGGAAAGCGGCCAAGACGTCTGGAGGATGAAAAGAGGCGCGGAGCGAACAGCTGGCACATCAAAGCCGGCAGCTGGCAGCGAGCAGGCCAGGTCACAAAGGTACAAAAGCCAAAGATGACGGACGGGAAAGCATTAAAAGCGACGCTTTAAAGGGGCAGCTGCCCTCTACGGTTCAGAGGATGGCACATAAAGTGGATGGTAACAGAGTCTCAAATGCCTACATGACTCTTTGTGTTCCTTTGTGGAGTAATTGCTTGAAATTAATTGAGTCTCGAAAGGAAATGATTCATTAAGGCAAATTCGAGGCAAAGCAATAAGCTCACCAAGTGTGATCCACTTTTATCATACTGGACATGCAGATGTTTTTTGGGGTTTCCTAAAGGATTGTGACTCCCTAACAGCCATAACACTTTGATTGGTAATTTGTCTCCCATATCTTGCTTAAGGAGCTCCGACCGGTCAAATCGTAGTCAAACAGCCTCTGATGGTACCTTCCAGGGCCTTTAAAAGGATCTTTTGGTTCCTGTGTTGTAGGTTTTTTTGTATTGGAGTTACGTTCACATTTTACAAAATCAGCAAAAGCTTGCAATGAAACCTTGAAAAACCAGCAGTATTTATATATTTTTTGAAGACTTTAACTTTGCTGTTGGCTAACGCTCGAGCTTGGCCTTTAAGTTTTCTGAAAGAAACCAAAACAAAAGAACCTCGTGTACAAATTAGACTAAAAGAAAAAATCCAGAAGTAATCCCACCACAAGACTGAAATCAAGAATAATTCTGTTTTAATGGAGCTCATTCGCAGCAAAAGTTTAGAAAATTCTACCTAAAAGAACTGATATGAAGTATTCATGGTGTAGGAAAAATAGGGTAAACATGGAGGAATCCCCCTCTTGCTGGGTGGTGCTGTGTGCAGGTTTTCAGTCCCTACGGAGCAGGTTGTGATTTATAGTCGACGTGAGATCCGGTGTGTTGTTTTTGCTCACTGTGAGGCTGTCTGCATCTCTTCATTTAGATGATGGAGAGCAACAGCCCGTCGCACGGTGACTGCAGAGGTCCTGCTTCTCTTCAAGCAAACAGAAATTTATCAGAGATTCTTATGAAGCATGTTGGCTGCTCCTCAGCTTTATGAGCTACTGGATTAAAACTCATGAGTTCTCTGATTCGCTTCCCTCCCCAATTAAACCAATTAGCTTGTTTTAAAGGTAAGAAACAGGTAAAACTGGTGTAGACTCTATTCTATGTCTGTCTCTAATACTTTTGCCTTTCTGTTTGGACTTCATTGGGTTCATAGGTGATTCTAAATTGACCCTAGGAGTTAGTTTAAGGGCTCCTTTGTTCATGTTGTCTCTAGGGTTAGGGATAGGGTTACACAAACACACACACACACACACACACACACACACACACACACACACACAC